ACTATATTAACTTGTATGGAAGATGTTGTAAGAGATTTATTAGTGATATTAGGCTTTCCAACATTGTTTGTTTTACTTTTATTCAACGACATTAACTTGTATGAAAAAGGTCAAATGAAATTCACTAAAGATGTCAGACATATCTTAGGTTATTGGTCGAAGTATGTCTCGATGTTAATCTGTGTGGATGAGTTCGTGAGAGAGCCGCTAAGGTTATTTATCTATTTTAGATTATTGGTCCAACTATGGTTCAATGACGTTAACCTATGTTGATAAAGTCGAGTGTAATTCACCAATGTTTTTTGGCATTTTTTAGGTTAGTCAGAGTATTTGCTCAATTACTTTGACATATGTGGAAGAGCCGTAAGAAATCCATCGTGGATATTTTAGACATTTCGAGATTATGTGTTGGAGTGTTACCCAATGACATTAGTGTGTATGGACGAGGTTGAAAGAAATTCACTAAAAATGTTAGGCCTATCCAATGTAATTTGTTTGAGTGTTATTTGATGATATTAATATGTATGAGAGGATGTCATAAGAAATCAATCAAGTATGTTAAACTTTTTGACGTTGTTTGTCAGAGTGTTACTCGATGACATTAGTTTGTATGGAAGAGGTCGAAATAAATTTACTAAGGATATTAGACCTATCTTAGGTTTTTGGTTGGAGTGTGGCTTAACGATGTTACCTTATGTGGATGTGGTTGAGAGATTTCCATTAAGTATATTTGACTTAATCTAGGTTGTTAGTTAGAGCTTGACTCGACGATGTTAACCTATATGGATGAGGTCGTGTTTAATCCACTAAATAATTTTTGCCTGTCTTAGGTTGTTGGTTGGAGTGTGGCTCGATGATGCCAACATATATGGATAACGTCATGTGTGATCCATTAAGAATTTTTTACTTGTCCTAAGTTATTGGTCGGAGCATGTCTCAATGACGTTAATTTGTGTGGATGAAATTGAATGTAATTTATTAAGAATTTTTTACCTATCCTAAGTCTGAGCATTTGCTTGATGACTTTAGTTTCTGTGGAAGAAGTTGAATTGAGCCCCACTGAGATTTAAAAGGCCATAATGAGGTGTCAGGAATTATTTATATATCTCGAGTTGTGGCATAGGCCGAAATGGAGCGTATATTTTTTAAAAAAATATGATTACAATCATACTCAAGAAAGAGATTTAGGAAATTCTTTATTTTTGAGTTTGTTGTACTGTAGTGGGAGTGTCCCAACTATCTCTGCCGAATTACTCTTTTAATTTATTTTTATAATTGATGACATGATTCAGTAGTGTGAACATGATTTTGGTGAATGTGACAGTGCGAGCTAATTTGGAGGCCAATGAGGGAAATGAAGTCTAACAGTATCGAGAAGGTCAATTTCTTGGGCAGGTTGATGAGGGAGCCCTGGACAAATATATTTGAGCTGGGCATTTCCAATTAGTGGTTGATATTGTGTTACGTAAGCTCCATCAATCGACATTACTGTTTGTTGTTGAGCCTTGCATAAAAGCTGGAGAATCTCATTTTTAGATTCCTCCTTTATATGCTCATGGTAGACTAAGGGTAAAGAAGAGGCACCTTTGTTGGTAGGATAATGTCTATTTCGTGAAGCAACTCCTTTGTTAGTAGGATAATGTCTATTTCGCAAGGCAGAAGGAGAGCCCTGGCATCCTGACTTCGTGATCTTCACATAGAATTATGGGTATTGAAGTGGGAGGCTCTATTGTTACAAGCTACACATTAGAAGCCATTAAAAACTGAGATTGCTTTTCTCATAGATGAGGCTGGGCAAAATTTGTAGTGATGGAGTGATAATTTAATGTTTTAGCATTGCACAAAGATTTGACATACCTAGATGAAAAAATAGTCATGCAAGGAGACAATAATTTTATATGTGAAAAAGCTCTAGAAAGGGAAAAAAATTACAAGACCTTACCCAATTAAAATAATTCATTATGTAATCAGAAATATAAATATCCATTCTTCATTTGAGTTAAATGATATTACAAGATGACTTTTGAAAATATAATGGCTTTGAAATAGCCAAACATAATTAAATGTATAATGGTTGTTCAGACTAATCATTGTAGTTCGACTGCAATAGTTGTGATGGGGCTATAACAGTTGTAGTTGGCTATGGAAGTCGTAGTTGGCTACAAAAGTCATAGTAGGTGGCTATGATAGCTATAATAGAGCTATTGAAGCAGTTGTGGAGGTTTTAGCAATTGTAGTTGGTGATGATAATAGTCATAGCTACAAAAATCATAGTTTGTATTTATAACTGCCAAAGTTGGCTATAGAAACTGTAGTTGGTGACTATAACAATCATAGTAGGTTTACCAAAGCCATAGTTGAATGCTATAATAATCATGGTTGGTCGGCAATGATTGGTGGTCGATGATGACCTATAGTGGTCGATGACGACCTTGGTGGTCGACCACGATCTCAGATGACCAGTGACAATTGCTAGAACTTTATAAGTTATGCTTTAGCAGTCAACTCACTGTTCTCTTATCGCCCTCCCCTTTCAAGTGAAGAATGGGGCTATATTTATAGTTTTTGAGAGGGACATTTTGTTAAGTTTTGCCAGGATCTCTAAATACTCACTTTGATATTCCACATTGATTCCCTTATCATTGATAGTTTTTCAATATTTAAGTGCCTTAACAACCTAACAATTAAATGATATTGGGCTCGTTGGATTCTTCTTGTCGAGCTGCTTAATTTGACCATAAGCATACCAAAATTTGAGATTGTTTAGCCTTCCAATTGATGCACCAAAGCCTTTGAGTAAACTTTAAGTGTTTGATTTGGGCTTATTTGGACTCATATTGGATTACTTTCAGCATAATTGAGTTATTGAGATGCTCAACATAACAATGAACTTATTGAAATGAGGGCTCTCATGATATCAAATTTGAATTTTGGAATGTTTCTAGCTCAGCATAATTGAGTTTGCTTGTTGAGATACTCAACATAACAATGAACTTATTGAAATCAGGGCTCTGATGATATCAAATTTGAATTTTGGAATGTTTCTAGCTCAAAATGCTTTGAGATACATATTTAATGATAAAAATTTCTTGATGACCATCGAAATTAATAGACAATTTATAAAATTTTTGTTTTCATTCGATTTGTATTCTACTTGTCACCACAAGGGAACAACATGCTGACATTCTTATCCAAAATATATATCATGGACATTTCTTCAAAAATTGAATTCAACTTTAAAATGGATAATATCCATTCATTCGTTTGAGTGAGAATTAATGGCCATCTTATATTCAGATTTTCATGTACTGCCGTCTCTTTTAGAGAAATTTACTTTCATTTGTTAGTGGATGAAATTGAGAAAAAAGAAGATAAATGTCATGAAAGATTTGTTGGAGGTACTGAACTGTTGATAGCCATGCCTTTATTAACTGTTTTTCCGTTAATCGTTTTAGCGGGGCAACAAACAAAGGTCTAGATTAGTAAACAGCGAGCAAGTCCAAAGTATCTCAGAGGGATAAAAAGAGCATGCATCTCCATTTGGTTGACTTTTGATGTAATGACCTTATTCTCTAAAGCACAAGGCCACTTCATGTCAACTTTTCTTTATATTTTGAATTTCATACGTCATTTTTATAGTTTTTATCTTACAAGCCTTTTCATCCTTGACATGGAAACTGAGGTATATTTATGGTGTGGAGCCATTTTATTTTCTATCTACACGGTATAAACATGGAAATTGAGGTTTATGTAATCGGAACTTTAGCCGGTTGACTTCTAGTATGTTATGTGGACATCTTGGATTTTGAATCTAAGTGTTTTCTAGAGAGAATGCTGCAGTACTAATCTTATTATCATAAATATTGCTTGTGATAAACATAAGACCTTCATTTAGGGTGTGTTTGGGGCGGCGGTGTGGCAGTAGTGCGGTGCCACATCATCGTTTTTTCTGTATAGTAAAACTGTTTTTTGTTCGCGTTCTAAAAAACAGCAGTTTCCGTATTTTTCCTCCATACCTGGCTACCTGCGGTGGCTGCTAGAAAGCTGAGCATCATAGTTTTTTCTGTATAGTAAAATTGCTTTTTGTTCGCGTTCTAAAAAAACAGCAGTTTCCGCATTTTTCCTTCATACCTGGCTACCTGCGGTGGCTGCTAGAAAGCTGCGGTTTAATTTTTTTCAAAATAAAATTAGTTCGACAGCTGGTTCTTGAAAACTAATTTTTTCCAAAATAAAATTAGTTCGACAGCTGGTTCTTGAAAACTTTTATGGAGTATTGGCAAAAGGATCTCTTTTAATATGAATTGTATGAATGAGTAGATTGACAACCATCTCATTTTCTTTTTTTATGGAGTTGATTTCGTCTTGTTATATATACCCTTTTTGGGCTTTCAAGTATCTACTGTTTGTTGTTTAGATTATTCTTATCTTGAATTCTACAAGTTTTATTAAATAGGTTGTTTCTAATCTGTGAATATGAATTGGATATCAGTTGGTAACAACCAAATAGTGTTCTCGTTCTTAGAACTTTCATCAAAATTTAAATGCGTTGTTATGGGACGTAAAAATATGTCCGATTGCTCTTTTTCTGTAATAGTAACACAACCTTAGTAAAGTTGATAACATGGCATCGCTAGTGATACTCTTTGGTTTTCTTTGATTGCTTTTGTTGCATTACTTGTATGCTGTCCAAATTCGGTCCTACTTTCATTTTGTGTTAACGTGAGAAGTCAAGTCATCTTAAATTCATTCTTGTTCGTTTTAATAGCTAGAAAAGCAATGTCTAATGCATGTTTCAGTTTTTTACATGAGCAAAATTTGTTTTAATCTACTCTGACACTTTATTCCGGAGAGATAATCTGCAAGTTTTAATGATGTCTTGCTACAATGAATTGATTTTTTGTACCAAGAAAGAAACTGAGATTTGGAATAATACTAATTATGGTAAGCATGAAAATCTGTTTATCACATAAATTTTATATATTTTATATTTTTTATGGCAGGTGGAGCTCCGACCGCACTAGTCAGCCTAATCGGACATAGCCAATACAGACGCTGTGCAAAGGATGTGTACTATTTTCTCCAGGTAAGGATATTTATTGTCATTACCGATCTCTTTGGATAGGATTTGAACTTTCACGAAGCTGCTGCTTACTCATTGCAGTCCTCTGTCTGCTTGAAGCAACTGGGATATAGTATGCTGGAACTGGTGCTAGTATCAATATTTCCGGAGCTGCGAGACTTGATTGTAGAAATACATAAAAAATTCCAAGCGAATAAATGGGCATCAGAAACAATGTGATTTTTCTTTATCTCATTGCCAGCATTGAACGAGTGAACTCCAGTATCCTGACGGTTTGGAGTTGGTCGGTGTACAAAGCTCTAGAAGTTTGCATCCATGGATGGTAAAGCTCTTCCGCTGGTCTGCTGGTAATTTCCATCCATAATGGCTTTGAATCCTTGTCGTGGAGTTGTGTGCTCCTGTAAATTTTGTTCAACTTGTATGGTTGCATTGCACTATACTTTTCTTCTTTGTACAATCATATTTAAGAATAATGTTGCTGGATGAACTAGGCAGCAAGTTTAATTTTATACGACTATTATTTATATTGAGTTGAAGATCTTCCACATCCTCAATCTTTGGGATTTTATATTTTACTTAAATATAATTATTTGCTTATTTTACTGGAAATATGTTAATATCCCCCATACCCCGAAACTGGGCCTCCTTTGTCTACTTAGTATGAGGTTCAGAACAGGTTTTACTAGTCATCTTTGATAATTTTATAAGATTTTGGAAATCCGACGGTAAACTTCATGGCTGTACGAACGATTATCATCAGCTGTTCTGTTCAATATATGTAACTCAATTATATGCTACAGTTAGCTGCCAAAAGAGGGGGCCTGGCTTGATCGGTTGGTCACTGTTCTGATAAAAAATTCTTGTTCTTACCTTCTGAGGACTGGCACTACTACGGAAAGAGTTTAATAGAGGAATTTGCACTAAAGGGGCTGTCAAGAAATAAGAGAAAAATAGGCATTTTATTATTTGGCGGTCCTCTCCCTTGTTTTATACTGATCTTATTTATAGACGTTTTGTTTTATACATTATAAATTAAGTATTTATTACACAAATCCTGAGTGAACCTGGATATATCTGTTCCTTCTTTTGGCATAGGCGTTTTATTTAATTTTCTATTGGTTACACCTTGAATTGGTAATCAATTCTTATAAAATATTTTTTCTACGGCCTCTATTGGTCAACAGCCATGGACTGAGTTGATCTACTTGGGTGGGTTGATTGTCGTCCTTCAAAATATATAAAAAATAGAAAGAGAATAAAATAAAATCTATAATTGTTGCTGTCTCAGGATGGAAAAATTGTTTCAACTTTTGTTTTCAAATAACAACTAAAATCAGGCCCCCACTCCACTTTGACGGGGGTGATGATAGAAAATAGGAGATATACCCTCCCGCCTCCCTTTGGTTTATCATAGCCCACGCACAGAGACAACTCCCTATTTGCATCGAATTAGCCTCGCTTCTATATTCGTCAGCCTCTCTTCTCCTTCGCGATCTTCTCGTGATGCAGTCACTAGCAGGAAAGCAATGATTGGATCAATGTGTACAAAAAACTTTGTAACTTAAGCTCAAAGCCCTCGCTCTTCTGCTTCAACATTGGCAAGCATCTGAAATTTTCCACGCTCGTCCCCTTTTCGATACAGTTGCAACTAGGGTTGCCTAGGAAGGAAATAATGGAACGACATACAGAGACCTTGAGAGCTCAATCTGTATTCTTTTGCTTTCGAAAAAGGTAACGAGTGGATCGCGACACACAGAAGCCTACAAAACTACTGTTTCTCCTTGTGTCACACAATTCACAAGCTTAGCTGCTTGATGCTCCTATGCTCAAGCTGTGATCTTTTATTTGATTCACACGTGACAATATAGAAGCCCCTTCCTTGCCTTTGATGTTTCAACTCATCAAGTACCCAGGCTGCACTAGAACAACTCTATTGTCCCAATTTCATAAACTTAATACTATTATTATGATATATATGCATACATATGTAAACCTTTATCCCATTAAGTTAGGTCGACTGCTTGTATCCTTTTTCTCCATTGTGCCCTACTAAGTCATTTTCATTTAATTCTAATAGATTAAGATCATTTTTTATACAATATGCCCAAGTCTTTTTAGGCCAACCTCTGCCTTTCTTAACATAACTGGAATCTGAAACATTTATTCTCCTAACATGATCATCAAATAGTCGACGTGAGGTAGTCGATAGTCAGTATAAAATTTGTCAAAAAAATCATGACATAAGCTCGGGCAACGCCTTCAGACTTGCCAAAGTTATTGATTTTGGACTTGCAAAATATTTAAATTGGACTTTTGAACTTTTTAAAATAACTTCAAATTGGAAAATTTGAACTTGCAAAATAATTTAAATGATGACTTACAAATAAATTGAAAATATTAAAATATTCAAGCCTGTAAATTATTTTAAATATGCAATATTAAATTGGCAAAATGCTTGAATGTAAAAAATCAAAAACTTGGGGTATGTGTAATATAAAAGATTATCGGTCGCTTTTTTGAAAAGTACATTCTTATATATATAGTTTTGGAAAATACTTTTTTAATTTTTGAAAATATGAGACCAAACCTATCTCATATAGACTAGTTTAAATAAACGAGCACAACACCACAAGTGATGCATCTATCCCGAGAAATAGACACATTACTTGCTAAAGAAGCTCGATTAAATAAGCTAAAAAAATTATGACATTCGTTTTAATCTGCGAAACCTTTATGTTGATCGACAAATCCATCTAATATAAAAGATTAGAAATGATTTATATTAAGCTAGGTTCTAAAGTTTCATATAAGGGCAAACCTCTATAGTTAATTACATCTTAAATGACCGATGTCACCTAAGAAAATTCTCGATTTAGAATAGAAATACTATCTTCAAGAATCTCAAAATTTAGGACTTTCAAGGTCGGACAAAAGAGTATCAAATGGGAAGAGATCAAGTTTGAAACATTTATTATGGAATCTAAAGGGAGAAAAATAGGGGTTGTCACAGATCCTGAGAAGAGCCTCAGTGATTTTCAAGCTATTTTATAGTTTGGTTTCAATTTCAAGGAAATATTATTAAAATTTTCATTCTGTCATATATTATTATTTAGGGCTTACACTTGTATGACACAGTCATACAAACAACATGGAAGATGGGAGGATTTATGTCGTAACGAACAACACCTCAGAGCCTAAAGCGAGTTAGGACTTAAATTGCACAACATGATTGTGCAAAGACTTAAAGATAAATTGAGGATTTATACTGTACTAGAGGGGCTACCTCGAAGTCTTACAACTTGTTATTTATTTCTAAGGGAAGATTTGCTATTGTAGATTCGCTTGATCTCTCGAGTTGTTCTTCTAAACATCCTTATCATGCTGCCCACGGAGTTAGCTCCAAACTCCTCGTCAAAGTGACGACTTTAGGTTCCAGGTTTAAGGTTTTACAGTTTAGATGACATGTTTGTTATTGCCCAAGTTTTATGCGGGGAGGGGAGTTAAAGTTAATTAGAGTGACACCGGTTAGAATCCCACGGTTCCCTCATTTCAGTACAACTATTTTCTTTTGAATTTACTTAGTCTAAACGAGTTGTTAAACTCATTTATACTGAGGAGATCTCGTTAGCAACCTTTGGTTACCTCATCCGAGGGACTCCTGTAAATTCAAAATGATGTATTATGTTTTTTGTTGTTTCAGAAAAGTAAATTTAATTTTGAAAACATCTTTTGTTTTGCAAAGTAAATAAGTGCAGGTAAGGAATTGCTGCAATGTAAATAAGAATAATTGCAGTGCATAAAATATAAATGTGTACCTGGGTCTCTGCTACCGCTGCATGATTAACATTATAAAGCATAATATATTTGCAGAAAATTTGAATAAATTACTAGTAAACAGGAGCATCCAGTACTGAAAAAGTCAGAAAAACGATTCGTAGCAAAGCACGAGCGGGTAAAAGAACACCAGTAGTCACATAGAAAAGATCGAGACTAAATGTAAGTGAGAGCTACCAACCCGACCTTAAGTAAGAGCTACCAACCATATAATCTACGAAGGGCAATCTTATCCTCGATCCAAGTGATTAACCGTGGACTTTTATAAGTTTTCATTTTTTTATTTAATATTAGTTTTCAGGCAAATAAAATTTACTTTGACATGCAAAAGAGATTTTATTTTTGTAAATGCTTTGAAAAGTAGTGTAGTCCACATGTTAATTACTTTGATCAAGCTAGGACTACTGTCAATATAAGAGTCAGGGGCAATTATCTCCTCAAGAGTCGTTGAGTAGTATGATCGGTCCTTCCTCTCCTTTTGTTAAAGGACCTTAAGGTAAGAGATACTACTCTAAATCTCACATCGTATCCATCGTTTTAACACACATTAGTAGTATAGTCATTGCACTAGCCCCCTAAACCTCAAACATACATAAGTCCAATGATTCGTATGTGACGAGAAAAAATATGCTTGGTTGCTCACAAGGATTTAAATACATCTGGGAATACTTAAGTACTAGAACATTGGGTCAATTAATGCAGGATAAGTAGTGTAGGACATTTCTATTGATTTAGGTGAATTATCGGGTCTTAAAATATAACTTAATGAGTCCTTAAAAGTTTTAATGGATGATTTTCTTGGACAAAGAATAATAAGTCCAGTTGTCCTTCAAACTATGTTATCCATCACAAAAGTGTTTGGGGGCATAAACTTAAACAACTTTTAAAACCTCTTGAATCGTTTTAGACTTATTATGTTGTTCATTTAATCAACCGAAGTTAAATTTAAATTCAATGGCTTAATACACCCTATGCTCAATGAACCTTAATATTTTAAATATCCCAAGAGCAGGGTATTCAAACATTCACTTGATGTTTTATTCAAGGATTATGAAAGTGGATGCCCATAAGGGCGAACTCAAGTCATTAAGGATTTTGGAGCCACAATTGAAGTTGGGCTCGTAGTGTTTAAAAATATTCATTAATTAATCATGTTCCTCTTTTATAATTCTCATTAAACAAGTTTAAATATCAAGCCTAAGTCACTACTAAGCCCTTAAACCCAATCTTCATGGTAAATTTGCAATAATCTGAATGTTAAATTTAATGAATTTGATTATCATTAAAGCTCATGCTTATCATCTAATCACCAATTAGGGGCTTCAAATAAGTAAATTATTATCTTCCTAGCTTAAGCCCACTACCTTACAATCATCCAATTAGGTTAACTTCCAAGTCACAATAATTTAAAAAAATTACAATTTTACCCTTATTATGAAAAGGTGACAAGTTGGTTTCTACCTCCTAACCCTTATGTTTCAAATATCCAAAGAAGTTTAATATGATCAATATTATCTATTTACCCTTTGACTTAGCCTAAAATTTAACTAGGCATCAAAATACTAAAATTACCATTTTGCCCTTAGTGCTCTCCTCTTCAAAACTCATTAAATTGGACTCAAATGAATTTGAAATTTTTAAGGCACCCCACTCATGAGTCAATTGAAATATCAGAGGAGAAACTATGATTTTGTGATTTTATTTAATTTTTAA